CACGGTGAGCAAGGATGGCTTTATCATACTGCATTTGGGCAGCGGGGGGCGCTATTATCTGCACACAGCTTCCTTCTCCCAGTCTTCACAGCAGAATGCTAACCGCGTTTGCTCTCACTTATGAGAGTTTTAGTGCTTAGGATGGCAGCCATACTTTGCAGAAAGCCGTCCCAATCCTGCGTCACGCATTGGATCTCTCGCTCACTTGTCTGTATAGCTCTTCCGATTGTCCCTTAGGTGAACCGAAGCAAGCGGCTACCCGCGTGCCCGTTTTGGTGTCACTACTGAATGGGATAATGCTTCCTTGCCGTTTGCCAACGTAGTTGGAGGGTTTTAGGCATAGAATTACAGAATTGTAGACCCCAGTCTAGTCCAACCCTCTGCAGTGCAGGAACCATTTTTTGCCCAACGTGGGGCTCAAACCCACGACCATGCTCTACCGACTGAGTTATCCCAGCATACTTTTATGCGCAAGATCCTGGGAACTATAGTTTCCCCCAAACAGAGCTGCGATTCCCAGCACCCTGGACAAACTACAGTTCCCACGATTCTTATGCAGGAAGTCACCCGCTTCTAAGCCTAAGGTGTCCACGCAGCCACCGCTTTAAATGATATGTTTAGGTTTTCAAAACATGTGAAAAGGGAGAACGGGGTGCGTAACAATACGCGAGCCATGGTCCAGCTTAGCTCCACGCGAGCCTTAAAATGACTGTGGTTGCAAAACCTGCATTGTGTCCGGGGTGCCCATTTTTTTTCTGTCAACATTATATATATATACTTTAGGACTTCTACGAGCCGGATCTGATGTCTCCCTCGCAACAAAATTTAAAAATCGGAGTACAGTACTTATGTTAGACTCCCTTGGTATCTTGCCCAGCAGGAGACCAAGGAGTAAAACTCATCTTTCAACTCATGGAAATGCCATCAAGTGAAAAGGGCACGGAGACCCTCTCCGGATTACTGGAGATGCAACAGCCACGGTGGAAACTGCCATTGTGGATAAAGGGCATTGCTGGCGGGGGGGGAGGGGGGCGGCGGCTCTTCGACCTCACCGGCTGAGCGACAGGCTTTTCCGAGTGGCCTGCAACGCGCACCAGCTGCCCCTAGGGGGAGTCGCCGCTTCTTTTTGCAGCTCCGCTGAAGCTGAACCAGTTAACCCGTCAATTGCCGTAACTCCAGTTTGCTTCCGGGATCCACATTCAACATTTTAGCAGACGCGGGGGGTGGGTAGGAGGGGGGCAATGTGCCGGCGATCCTCTCTCCGCGGACCTGGAGCCAAGTCGCTCCTCCTTCCACGCGCCGCGCACCCAGGCAGTGCTAAAAAGAGACCCGAAGCCGGCAGTGGACGCAGCTGCAAGTTTGCCCGCGATCCTCCACCCTGCGCCCCCCCCTCCTACACGTTGCACCAGCTGCGCCCCACTTTCTGGTTTCATGCCGCCACGAAATCCAGCAGTAGCAGCCCCTGCAAGTGCGTTGAAAAGAGGCGGGGACAACCCCATTAATAAAATGCAATTGTTATTATTATTATTATTGTTCGTTTTTTAAAGCGTGCAGCCCGATCCTCCCCATGCGTCGGCAGTAATTGCCGCTGAGTGCAACGGGGATTCACTTCCATATAAGTACAGGCCTTGTGCCTCGTCAGGCTTCGCCGGGTCTGTTTCAGATTTGCACATGCTATGATTTTTCTGAACAGGAAGCGCAAGGGGTGGTTTGATTCGCCGCTCACGGTGACTAAACGCCCTCGTTGGTATTGTCACTATTTTCTCCTTATATGGCGCTGTCCGAGCTGGTTCCATTTCCCTTTCCTACAGAGATCGCCCTGGAGTTGCCTTTATATGGGCTGTGGCCAGCTGGGCCAATGAAGAGAGCCCTTCTGTCTGCTGTGCAAGGATTTCCCCTTCTGAGTACTGTATAGGATCCTGGAAATCGGGAGGGAGGGTGGCGGTGGGGGCCGCGGGGGCTCCAGATATTGCAACTCTCCTTGTCTCTAACCATTTATCATACTGTCTGGTTGAAGACAGTTGGAGTCCTAGCCCATGGGCATAGCCAGGGGGGCAACTGCCCCTCCCAATCAAGTAAATAAATAAAAATACTTAACTAAAAGCAGAAATATTCAGAATATTTGAAATGGAGGTCAAATGTGTGTTCTAGCGACACAACTGGCAACCCAACTGAGCCATAAGCAGAGCCAGACAGAAGATGATGACAGGTGGGTGCCCTGCCCCCCCCAACATAAATCCTGGCTACGCCCATGCCCTAGCCCAGGCATCCCCAAATTCGGCCCTCCAGCTGTTTGGGGAATACAACTCCCATCATCCCTAGCTAACAAGAGCAGTGACAGATAGGTAGCCGTGTTGGTCTGCCATAGTCAAAACAAAACAAAATCCTTCCAGTAGCACCAGTAGTATCTGAAGAAGTGTGCATGCACACGAAAGCTCATACCAAGAACTAACTTAGTTGGTCTTTAAGGTGCTACTGGAAGGAATTTTTTTTGTTTTAACAAGAGCAGTGGTCAGGGATGATGGGAGTTGTAGTCCCAAGACAGCTGGAGGGACGAATTTGGGGGTGCCTGCCCTAGCCAGTGGCCACATCTGGAGGGCCACAGAATGCCCCTTTCCCTGTTTAGATGAAATCACCTCCTGGGGAGGTTCACTAATACACAACAGGGAAGAGCAGTAGCAGAGTCCCACTCCCCCAAGTGTGTGAAAACAGTGCATTTAGTGAGGCACGGGTTATCTGCATTTTATTCTGACTGCCCAGTCATATTACTCCGTAATGTTGATGCACGCCTCAGGTAGCTTATCAGGCTTCTGAGCGTGCCCCTTTCCCCACCCCCAAAGGCCTGCAAACGTGTGGGGGGACACCTGGGAAAGAAGTGGCAGCAGTGGGAGTCACATGGAATGGCTGTGGAGTGACAGGCCCCATCATTTAGTGCAGGGATCAGCAAACTTTTTCAGCAGGGGGCCGGTCCACTGTCCCTCAAACCTTGTGGGGGGCCGGACTATATCTGGGGAGGTGGGATGATGCAAGAGCCCCACGAGCCCCAGTGGCTGCTTACCTGTGTCTTGCGAGAGGCCAGGGCTGGCAGTGGCGGTGGGACGATGAGTGGCGAGCAAAAGGACTCCAGAAAGGGGCTGCTTTAAATGGTGGCCACTCGGCGCTGCTGCTGCTGCTGCTGGCACCAACAAAGCCCAGCCCCCTTCCTTCTCTAGGCAGGGCAGGGAGAAGCCAGGAGGAGGGAGGGAGGAGACGGTGGTGCTGTGGGAGGGAGAGGGAAAGAACACACACGCTGGCGATCCACGCAGCAATTCCCGGACAGTCCACGGGCCGGATCCAGAAGGCAATTGGGCCTGATCCAGCCCACGGGCCTTAGTTTGCCTACCCATGATTTAGTGTTTGGGAGCAGAGAGGGAGCCAGAAGTCCCCTGGCTCCAGGAGGCTTTTCGTTCCTGAGGGGTAGGTTCAGGCTGCACGGGCTGTTTCTTCTAATTGGCGAAAGGTTAAGTACCTGTGGTTCCTCGTCCCATCATAGGACGGATGGATGCTAGAAAACAAAGCAGCAAAGCCACCCCTCTGCCTAGGGTGCTCACTAGCTGCTGCTAGGAATAGATGCTGCTATGCCTTTTAGACATTCAGCTGCCGTACTTGGGTGACCGGTGCAGCTGTGAACCAGGTGTGAGGGCCTTTCCGCAGGATACTGCCATTTGCTTTTGCACACACACAAAAGGAAAAATCTGTATGGGTCAACAAAGTTAATACCACTCCGGCACCACCTAGATGCAGCAATGCTTCTGAAGAGAGCAGGGTTAGAGCAGGATGCCAAATACAGTCGTACCTTGGAAGTCAAACGGAAACCGTTCTGAAAGTCCGTTCGAGTTCCAAGATGTTCGAAAACCAAATCGCAGCTTCTGATTGGCTGCAGGAAGCTCCTGCAGCCAATCAGAAGCCGTGAAAGCCCCATCAGACATTCGGGTTCCAAAAGAACCTTCGCAAACCAGAACAATCACTTCTGGGTTTGCGGTGCTTAGGAGCCAAAACGTCTGAGTTCCAGGGCATTCGGGATCCAAGGTACGACTGTCCATAAGTCACACAGGAGCCAACTCTTAGGGTCCCAATAAAATATTTGAGGGGGCTGGGCCCCCACAAAGTTGATGGGCATTCCCATTCAAATAGTGTGTGTGCACTGTGTCATGTGATTGATTATGTGGGGCAGGGCTTACCTGGGCTTACCCCTCAATATTTTAAGTTGGCACCCCTGGTAAATCACCTGTGGCTTGGGAAGCTATGGCTTCTACTCTTCCTCCAGCATGGAAACGTCTATATATCTCTCTGAATTTTATTTTTAAATATAGTATGGTGGGGATGCCATCCCTCCTAAGAAAACTTCCTGCCCCCCATTGGAACTAGATGGGGGCTCATGGGTGTAGCCGGGGGGGCCAGCTGCCCCCCAAATCAAGTAAATAAATAAATAAAACTAACTGACCAATTGTGTCACACATAACTCGGTCCTGTCCCCTACACAAATAAAGCCTGTCCCCTAAAATAAATCCTGGCCACGCCCATGTCAGGGCTAGCACCATCTTAATACTAAGAGGAGGGAAATCCACAAGGGATATAGATTTTGAAAATGGGCTGAGTGGGGGGGGGAGGGTTGAGTGAAACTTTTTAACAAAACCATTTCCAGCAAGATTTTCACAGGCCTTTACTTGTTCGACCCCATTGTCCTCCTCAAGCAGGGGGGCCTCCTTTCCTGACATTGCGCTGTGCATCAGGTGGTGACGAGGGAAGTTGTGTCTGTGGAAAGGAGCTCCTAGCCAGCCGCCATATGCAGCTGTCGGAATAGGAAGCTCTATATAGAGGCAGCTTCCTTCCCCTTTAGGTTATTTGTGGAAGGTGTGCAGTATGTGCAAGAGGGGGAGGCCCTTGAACAGAGCAGCAGGACAACGGAGGCATTTTTGGAGACCACACGTAGCTTAGGACTTGCGCAAATGACAGAGGGGTGGTCATACCGTAGACTTTATCGTATCACAGAATTGGAAGGGACCACAATTGTCATCTAGTCCAACACAATGCAATTCGGGAATCTTTTGCCCAACATGGGGTTTGAACCCACAACCCTGAGATTAAGGGTCTCGTGTTCCCGGGCCTGGGATTCTCAGCTGTCATACAAAGACCTCTGCTAGTCTAACTACGGTTCCTCTTCCTCCAGATCTTTGCATCCTTTGGAGACCAGCTCTGTCTTCCCCCTCCTCTTGGAATGTTACCCAAAATGGCCCATTGTCTGTGGCTAGACCACCCCATGGAAGATGTTCCAGCCCTGCCAAGACCCTCCTGACTGCCTTGACTTCTAAACGGCACTCGGCTTCCATCTCCGCACATGCAGCCGCTGGGGCCCACAGCCACTGCTCCCCCCAAAAAAATAAAACCCCCCTCAGGATACTGTTTTTGTTCCAGAGTTGTAGGTGAAGAGAGTATTAGAACTAGAGCTCTTGCTAAAAAGGGAAGAGAAAATTGGGGAGAGGGGGATCTGAGGAGCTGCTGGTCATCCATTGGACAGAGCAGAGAAAGGATTAGGGGAGAAGGTTTCCTCCTTCTTGGAGGAGACCTGCTTGGTATGCAGAAGGCCCCAGGTTCAGTCCTCGGCATCTGCATGTAACGCTGGGAATTTCCACTGCCTGAAACCTTGCAGCATTCTACCAGTCAGCGTGGACAGTATTGAACTAGATGTACCAATGATTCTGGCTGAGTACGAAGGCCGCTGCTTTCTATCTTCTACTGCTCTCCTAATTTAGAGGGAGTGGGGAGAAAAGGGCTTCCAAGGCCCCCTGAAACCTGCAACTTGTCGTCTTCTGTTTCAGGTGCGGAGCATGGGAAAGGGAAGACAGCCACAGGCAATGTTGCGCTGGTTCTGAAACGGAGCCTCTATCGCTTTAATCCTGGGTACATCAGTGTCGCACCCTCCCGGGAGCTGTGCATTAGGGTGCTGCTTCTAAGGTTAGACAGATTAAGACTATGGGAAATAGGGCAAGAGGTCCCCACCCCTCCTTCCCAGCAAGGTCCTTTTCCACGGAGGAAGATGGGGCTATATTACTGTGCCTCTGGAGTCCAGGTGGGAACACTCAACTTTCCCCTCCCCGCCAAATACCCCACCTCTGTGTCCGCTCTGAGCTGGCTCGGCTACCGTGGCGGAAGCTAGAGCATCTACGGTGCTACTCAGCAAGTGGCACGGCGTCAGTACTCCCAGAGGGTGGCCCGGTGCAGGGTGTCGGCATCGGCACGCAGGGTCCCGGCTTGGTCGCCGCGGAGGTATTTGCCGTTCTTCCCTTTGATGGCCACCCGGCTGCACTCGCGGAACTCAAAGTAGAAATCCTCCGACATCTCGCCGTCGCTGCAGACGGTGCCGTTGGTGGCCACATACCAGAACTTGCCACCGAGGCCTAGGAGCATCGAAGGAGCAGGTGTCAGTGGGAGATAATAATAATAATAATAATAATAATAATAATAATAATAATAATATATTTATATCCTGCCCTTCCCAGCCAAAGCCGGGCTCAGAGCAGCTAACAACAGTAAAATGATACAACATTCTAAAATCATTTCATTATAAAATCAGTTCAAATCAGATTAATGGCAACCATTGGACTAGAGTTCTGTGAAGATTGTCAAAGGAGGGAGTCAGGCTGTGCCCTGGCCAATGGCCTGGTGGAACAGCTCTGTCTTGCAGGCCCTGTGGAAAGATGTCAAGTCCCACAGGGCCCTAGTCTCTTGTGACAGAGCGTTCCACCAGATTGGAGCCACAGCCGAAAAAGCCCTGGCTCTGGTTGAGGCCAGCCTAACCTCCCTGTGGCCCGGGACCTCCAAGATGTTTTTGTTTGAAGACCGTAAGGTCCTCTGTGGGACATACCAGGAGAGGCGGTCCTGTAGGTACGAGGGTCCTAAACCGTATAGGGCTTTAAAGGTTAAAACCTTGCATGTAATCAAGCGCATAGAGGCACCACCACCTCCCTCCCTCTCTTAAAGGTGCATGGGATTGAAGTTTGTGGCAGGTAGTGATCCGTTTGGGGGACAAATCTGAAGTTCTAGGAAAGGAAGGATAGAACAGGGATGGGGAACACGTGGCCTTGCTGATGTATCTGGGCTCCCAATGCCCATCATCCCTTGGCCACAGGTTCCTTAAAAGAGCTGCTGAGTCATAACTGGTCCAGTCATCCACACACACACGACTGAGACCACAGCAAAGAACTGGCGGAACCATATCATGCTACCTGGTGCAGAGCAAAGCAAGCCAAGCTGGGCTACAGGGGAAGTCCAAACAAATACAGTGAAAAAGCAGGGTCCTTGGATTTGTAACAGGGGGGCTCTTCCAGTTGCAAACGTAGCCACCCCCCAGGTCCACATGGAGGCAGTCCCACATTGCTGACTACTTGTGAGGCTCCCCATGTGTCCACAATCCCGAATCGCAGCACGATAAAAGGCCGTAAGTGCTTTTATTAATTTTGAGAAGGTTCTAGGCACTTTAGGGGGAAAAGTAAATTCCGAGGGCCCACCCTTTTGCTGTTCTGCTGTCCTCCCCAGAGAAGGCATCTGAGTGGCTGGGCTTGCCGCCACTCTTCTTGCACTCAGGGGAATTTTACTGTTAAGGAAACAGGGCAGCTGCAGCTTCAGGTACTAGCCATGCCACTTTCTAGAGTGTGGCTGCTTGTCATCAATGGCCAGCTACCATTGAGGGATGAGAGGGCTGCAAAATCCCCAGACTTTTGCCTAGCAGTCTATTGCTTAAACAGTGCCACTGCCCAATCCTCACTGGGCTGTTTTTCACCCCCTGCACCCGCATAAATATATATTTATTTGGGTACTCCTGCAAACCTTGGGGTTCCCCCCCTCCCCGCCTGATGATACTTTTCTGGCCTCACACCCAGGATTTGTTATAGGATGGCAATGGGTTCTAATGGTGAGGTTAAAGTTCTCCAAATAGTAGGAACTGCTTTGCACAAATAGCTTACTGTGGTAGCGCATGGGGGGATCTGACTTTGCAGTCAGTTGGAACATAGGAACTTGCCTTATACAGAGATAGGCCGTTGGGTCCACCTACCTCATTATTGTCTACACTGGCTAGCAGAGGCTCTCCAGGATTTCAGGTGGAAGTTGGAGGGGCTGCGTTCACAGCTGGGAAACAAATGTTCTCTTAGCATCCCTCCGACATATGGTCCAAAATTATTTCACTATGTGATGAGATCCCTCCCCAGCTCCCAGTTTGCAGCCAGTTAGTGAGTTACCTTTGATCTGGTAAGCGCCGTCGTTGAAGATGATCTGGAAGACATCATAGACGGAACGGTTGGCGTCTAGCAAGTTGGAGTTGCGGTGGTAGCACACGAAGCCATGAGCCCCGCGAAGGACCAGGATGGGCCGGTTGATCAGCTTGAGAACAAATTCCTCATCCTCCCCTGTAGTCAGATAACTGTAGGTCAGTGAGTTCGGAAGCTAATGTGACTGTGATGAGCTAGGGATCCAAAACGTGCATTTGTGAATACATTTGCATCAGACTTCGGCCCCAGTGAGTCCAGGATTGCTCTCCCAGCCACATACGTGCTTTCAGTAGCCTGAATTTGCAGATTTCCAGCTAACGTTTTTGCTTTTCAGTAGGAGTTCTATAAGCAGGATCAGTCCGCTTTCAATTCCCCCTTCCAGTTAAGTTTCTGAGGTTACAACTGGGCTTCATCCTACTTCTGCGAGCTCCTTGCCATTATTGATCCTAAGAGTTGCAAATGCAGAAGAATCCTGGACAAACTATGTCATTGATTACTCGTTATTTTGAAACTGCTCTGGCATCACCTTAGTGCTCTCCTCCTGCTTTGGCATACTGAATTGGCATCTGCAGCTGAAGCCAGAGTCCGACCGGAGTGGCCTTCCTGCTATTGGGCTCATCTCAGGTGCACCTGGAAGCCATCCAGCTTTAAGCCGCACTAAACAGCTGTGTCACTTTCAGTAGGACTTTGGTGGTCTTTTCTGACACCTGGCTATAGCCACCTGCTCTCCTGACTTGCAAGGTGTGCCTGAGGACCTTACAGCTGCTTAGGATAAGACCATACTTGTTGGCCTGCTGCTGCTCCCTCCCCACTTCCAGTCAAGTAACTTCCAGTTTCAATCTTGGTTGGCCTGTGCTCTAGCAAAAGTGACTTCCCCCCAACTGCCCTGCAAACTCTTCGTTTCATTTGTTCTCAATATAGCCTCCTCTGGAACTGCTCAATATCTGCGCAGCCTTTTCTCCGCTCTCAGCTTCTGACTGTCCCAGCCACAAAGACCCAGCTATACTTGTAATACCGTATTTTTCGCTCCATAGGACGCTCCTGACGAAAAGACGCACCAAGTTTTTAGAGCAGGAAAACAAGAAAAAAAAATCGGACTCAAATGTTGTACTAAGCTATTTAAAACAGCAAAGTGTGTGGCTCCTGTCCACTTTGCTGCTTTAAAGCGAGCCACGGTATATAATGAAGTGAATGGGAAAAGGACAGACATTCCATTATAATGCAGCTGTTTTCATTATCACTGGGAAGTCAGTATTGGCAGCAGTCACAAAAACTAAAATTTGAGCATTTTACTGTTATTAATCAAGAATATTAATAGTCAGGGAGAGAAACCAGGGCTGTGCAAATGAGAAGTGCTTGGAGTATGGAGGAACAGCAAAGAGATAAAATGATTGCGCTCCAGTTCCTAAATCTCTGAAGTTTTCTCAAAACAGGCATGGTTGTTTTGAAAGGAAGATTCAAAATGGAGTGACTGAGCAAAGAACAGAGGAGGAAAAGAGGGCAGATAAATAGCTTCCATTCAATAACAAGAGAACACAATGTTTTTGGTTTGGTATAGGTGGACTGTACTTGTAAGAATTTGTATAATGAATTATAGATTTGGAGTGGAATATCAGTGTCTCTTTTCAGCAATAAAGATTAGCTGCTAGGAACATGGTCCACACACAAACACACAGGATGTCTGGTTATAGTTGCGCAGTTTAAACTGTTCCTGAGCCAGATGCCTGCTCAGTTGTAGCTGAGCTCACTATTACTGGTTTGTGGAGATGCTTTGCATGTATTTATGACTATTTCTGCAAAACTGCTACTTGAAGAAATCCCCAAACTTAATATTTTTAAACTTCAAATGGAGCTCAGAATCCTGTTAGGCAATCCTCTGCAGTTGAATAAGGAGGCACTGAGAGACAGCAATTTGCTGCTCCCTACCAAGCATCCCAGGGGTGCAGGGCAAAGAGCACCCCAGGAGCACACAGCCTTCCCTCTGCTTGCAAACCTTGTCGGGGCTTCAGGGGAAAGCAAAGGCTGTAGGCAGAGCAGTGTAGCTCCTCCCCCCCACCCCCAAAGAGCAGCCCAGGAGCACACAGCCTTCCCTCTGCATGCAAACCTTGTCGGGGCTTCAAGGGAAAGCAAAGGCTGCAGGCAGAGCAGTGTAGCTCCTCCCCCCCACCCCCAAAGAGCAGCCCAGGAGCACACAGCCTTCCCTTCTGCTTGCAAACCTTGTCGGAGCTTCAAGGGAAAGCAAAGGCTGCAGGCAGAGCAGTGTAGCTCCCCACCCCCAAAGAGCAGCCCAGGAGCACACAGCCTTCCCTTCTGCTTGCAAACCTTGTCGGGGCTTCAGGGGAAAGCAAAGGCTGCAGGCAGAGCAGTGTGACTCCCCACTCCACCCCCAAAAAGCACCCCAGGAGTACGGGGCAAAGGCGCACAGCCTTCCCTCTGCTTGCAAACCTTGTCAGGGCTTCAGGGGAAAGCAGAGGCTGCCGGCAGAGCCGCGTGGCTCCTCCCCCCACCCCCAAAGAGCAGCCCGGGAGCGCACAGCCTTCCCGCTCCTTGCAAACGTTGCCGGGGCTTCAGGGGAAACCGGAGGCTGCCGGCAGAGCACCGTGGCTCCTCCCCCCCACTCCTAAAGAGCAGCCCAGGAGCGCAGGGCAACAGCGATTTGGCTCCAGGGACCACGCATTCGCTCCATAAGACGCACAGACTTTTTCCCTTACATTTTAGGAGGGAAAAAGTGCGTCCTATGGAGCGAAAAATACGGTATATTCCGTTGGCTCATTCGTTGTGATCTTGCCCCACAATGTTCCAGTTTCCATATAACACAGATTTAGGTACTCTCCTGATGCCCATCGAGCATGGTTTTGGCTCGCCTACCTCTTCCAGCCACCATTCTCAATAAGGAAGCTGCAGCAAATGGCGGAAGACGAGCAGCTTTATTGACAACACACAGACTGTGGTCCTTGGTTTATCAAGTTTAAAGGTAAAGGACCTCTGACAGTTAAGTCTAGTTGTGGACAACTCTGGGGTTGTGGCGCTCATCTCGCTTTACTGGCCGAGGGAGCCGACGTTGGTCTGCAGACAGTTTTTCTGGGTCATGTGGCCAGCATGACTAAGCCGCTTCTGGCGAACCAGAGCAGCACACAGAAACACCGTTTACCTTCCCGCCGGAGCGGTACCTATTTATCTACTTGCACTTTGACGTGCTTTCGAACTGCTAGGTTGGCAGGAGCAGGGACGGAACAATGGGAGCTTACCCCGTCGCGGGGATTCGAACCGCCGACCTTCTGTCCTAGGCTCTGTGGTTTAACCCACAGCACCACCCGTGTCCCTATCAGGTTTAGGCCCCCGTAATTGAGGCAATGGCAAAACCTACCCCCAGCACCCCACTGCAAGACTCACCCACTGCATCACTGACAGCTGCCAGTTGTCCATTCTTCTTGGTGCAGATATATTTGCCATTGCGAGCTTTGAGGGCTACCCGGCGTCCACGCCACTCCATATCAAACATGGTGCTAGCAGATCTGGGGGGACAAAGCAAGGGGGGGAGAGCACTGGTCAGATTGTGAATGATCATTTTGCTCTTTCTTCCCTTTTGTGTACTTAACATACAGAGAGTGCAGCCCTACACACACTTGCATGGGCGTAGGTCTTGCTGAAATCAACAGGGTTGTGTGCACAGGACACCACATTGTGTAGCAGGTGCAGCAAATTGCCACTCTCCCCCATTAGCTTGTTGGCAGGGGCGGGGAGGAATACCTGTGGGGAAATGGGGAGTGGATCCTTGACTGGAAGAACTTGTAAGCCTGGTTCTGGTAATTCCTAAGCTAAGAATACGCTGAGAGGCACCCTGCTCCATCCTTCGCAGTGTGCGACTGCCTGGCTCGATTGGTGAATCTCAGGGTTCTAATAAAGACCAAAATAGATCCCACAAGTCTGTCCACCCGAAGTTTAGAATCTGCAGATAATTCTGAGCTAGATGGACCAATACTCTGGCTCAGTGCAAAGCAACTTCCTAGGTTCCCCTAACTGCTTGAAGTTACTGACAATAGCAGTCCTCTCTCCCTCTCTCTCTTACATTCCACTTCTGTCGCTAAAGGTGCTGCTATAGGAATAGAGGACACACAGCAAATTACCCTGGGCTGGAGGCAAGGGTACCAGGGCTGAGGGCGCCTGCCTTGTCTGTGACCATCTAGCACCTTGTTCTTCAACTGGTGAGTTGGGTCCCACTGACTAGTGGCTTGCGCAGCCAACCTAAGATGGGTCACAACCGCTGTAGAGATGTACTATCAAAAATTTAGTAGTGAGCTATATGTCCTATTTTGCAGTATTATTTGTTTCTTATAAGTATGTTTCAAAAAATTCAGCAGTGAGTCCCAAACTCCGTGTTCGAGCTGACAGTGGGTCCCAGGTCTGGAAAAAGCTTGCAAACATCCTAATTTAGCCTGGTTTTGTATGCACACTTTTGCCTGAGACTCGCTAGCTACCCTTGGGAGATGCTGCTCTGCTGCCTTCCCAGTTGGTATCAACGTTGGTGCCGTACTGAACATTATCCTGGATTATCCTGCCTTCTCTGAACGGCTATGCACTTCACTTCCAGGTCCCTGATTCTCAAACATATGTGCAAATTCTTGTATGTCTGCAATGCTGTGCCCAAACCATGCTTTTCCTTTCCAGACACACAAAAGGAAGCGTTGATGGACATTCGTTTAGGCAACTGTATTTCCCTCAAGTCCTGCTTGGGGGCAAACCAGAGTCACTGGCTTGCTGCTGTGAAAAATGGGCTGCAGGAACAGATAGCCCCTGATCCGACTCAGTAGAGGTCTTCTATGTGCTTATGCACCCATCACTCCTTCCCAGAAGCCCTGTTCTAAGTCTTGCACCTGTTCTCTCCATGCCCTGGCTCTCCTTCTGCTATGTCTGGCCAAAACTGCCATCAGACTTCCAAGGCCCCAAATGCTCTAGGGCCCCATTAGTGACATGAGGACATAACCTAACTCACATTTCTGTGGCCGTGGCCTGAATTCCCCCATGCGACACCAAGGTCCAGTAGTTGCCTGTGTTGGAATGGAAGATGCACTTCTTTGTTTCTTTATCAATCTGTATCTGGAAGGTTTCGTGGTGTGTCTCTTCATCCTGATTGGCCGAGACGTTGACACCTAGCAGGAAGAAAGGACATGTTTTCATATTGTTTAGATCCATCGTGCTCCACTGTCAGGCATGAAACCAGATATGAAAACCTGTGAGAAGGGTTCAAGCAGAGGTCCATCTTAGAATCATAGAACTGTAGAGTTGGAAGGGACCCTGAGGATCATACCGTCCAACCCCCTGCAATATGCAGCTGTCCCATGTGGGGATCGAACCTGCAATCTTGGTGCTATCAACACCACACTCTAACCAAACTGAACTATCTAGTTGAAGGCATTCCTTCAGACGCACAAAAGAGAGATGGAGAAGGTGTAACTAATTATGGGGGGGGGGGAATAAAAAGTAAATATATGGTTCATTAATTACGGGCAGCCCCATAAAATGTGAGTAACAACCAACTGTAAATTCTGAGAATATGAACAACAGAAAAACAACAACACTCTTCCTTTATTTTTGCCTTAAGGGTCACGCTAAATGTGACTCTGTTCACAAAAAATAGCAATTACATGAATTAAAAACAAAAACCCACGTAAATAGGTGTGGGTGGTTGATCCCGATCAAGACCACAGCAATGGGCAATAGGTTAAATCCCTATCCCTCCCACCAGAGTCACTTTTGAGATTGAGGGCGTTATACACAGGAGCCGACTCCTAGGGGCCGAGGAGGCTTTGGCCCCCCCCCCAATAAAATACCTGAGGAGGGCAGCCCCTCAAGTTGATGGGCATTGCCATTCAAATGGTGTGTGTGCACCGCATCATGTAATTGATTATGAGGGGCAGGACTTACCTGGGCCCACCTCCCAATATTTTATTCAAGTTGGGACCCCTGCCCCTATACCTACTACTTATGCAGAGGTGGGGGGAGAAGTTCACACAATTGCTGCTTGAATGTTTAGTTTGGGGCCCCCACTAACTTGCCTCTGCCTCTCCATCCTCGCTGCCTTGTGGGGCTGCTGTTGGTCATCACATCCTTGCTAGCATTCCATAAGGGTTAGGGCACTACACAGATAGCAGGGCTTTATCTCATTCACCCTCACAAAAGCCCTGAGATGTGTGTGACTCACTTTCATTCCATTGTGATGGGGATCTGCAGTAGAGATATAATTATTTTCTCTAAGCCACCCGGTTAAGTCCACGACAAAAGCTAAACTTTAATCCAGGTCCAACATCCTATATGCTAATAGCAAATTCATTCTCCAAGTGGCGGTGCTTATGCAGCCAAAATTCAGAAGAGGAAGGAATCGGTAATAGGCTTGAGGAATCCCGAAGTTTGCAGAAATACAAATTAAGGAGGGGAGGGAAAGAACCTCAAAGAATCTAATCAGGGCTGAGCATGCTCAGTTGCCATAGAATGCTGAGTGTTTGTTTAGGGGTGGGGAAACTGAAAACTGGGAGAGGATGGAACGGAATATCCTGAGAAAGGGTATGGCTGGAACACTGAACACTGAGCACTCCACCCCGCCATACTTTGTTGCAGGCCCCTGGTTCTGTCTACTGGACGACGCCAAATAGAAGACAGGTGTGTACTTTTCAAGTGCATCTCACTGATTTGATTGTCATAGTTGGCACTTGGATTTGTCTCTTGATTGGCTAGAAACCAATGGGACATGTCATTATCTAGTTCTTAACATTCTGTTGGCAAGCATGGGCAGGAAACCACCCAAGAAAACACTTGACTATTCTCTGGTCAGCTCTAGCCAACTCGGGCCTGAGCCCTGTCTACACCACCTCAAATGCAGCTTCCCTACGAACTGCCTATTTTTTTAAATTTATTAGCCATAGGTGTGTGATTCACAGAACTTGCTTAGTCAATTCCCCATGAAGCTCACTGCTGGCAGTCAGATCACCAAAGAGTGACTGCAGGCGATTGATTAAGATCTCTCAATCTCTCTCTTGCAACCTCCCTCCCCGCCCCCACCTCATGGATTACTCTTCCCCCTCCCCCTCTCTGAAACTAAATGTGATCTGCAATTGTTTTAAAGTGCCAGTTGGGAAGCTCCAATTATATTACCCCCTCCCCAGAATAGCAGTACAGTACTGCAGTGGGAAAAATTCCCCAAAGCTCTGATCAAAACCATAGCTTCCATAGCTGCTTCAAAGTAAAAGCCGAAACATCAAGAGACTTCATCTCCTGAATCGGTTTCAGCTTTCCTATGCATGCAATGTACATTCACTCACTCTGCAAGCCTATTCTTGACCTGTTCTTTCTTTCTTTCTTTTTAAAATTCCTTGTTCATCTGGCTATAGCGCCACAGTCAGGCTGGCTGGGATGTTGTGCCATTCCTCAACCTGCCCTGATTATTTCCAGGAGGCAATTTCAGCCTGGGACCAGAGATTTAGCAGATCTGTGATCTTTGTCAAAAAAAAAATATGGCCTAATGCGGGTCCTATGCCTTGCTGTCAGCTGCTTCACCCAGGACTGGTTTTGTCCTCCTACCAGATTTGTGACGTAATTTATGATTCCAACAACAGGCAAGTTAGAGGAACTTATCTCTTTAGCATCCCATGTGCCTATTGTTTTAAATGTATGAGGAGCCTAAAGAAATCAGAGGGAAAGAACTAAGTAGCACGTACCACAATCTCTGAAGTAAATAAATTGCCATAAAGCTGACAAACCAATGAACTAACATTAACAAATTTATCCAAATCAAATTGATTTATCAACGATAAATCAAACATTTCCACACACCCTGGCTTTGTCTGTAGCAAAAGGATAGATGATGTCATTCCTCCAAAGATGGCATACATACATTGATTTCCTCACAGCAATGACACTGTAAGGAAGATAATGTTAACAGCGGGCGAACTAAGGCCAGGGCTATGCATATGCACCAGCAACAGTGCTGGATTGGGTCTGCCAATGCAACCACACAGTCCAAGCCTTGCCTGGTTCCTGACCTCACCTCCTCAGTATGCAGAGCTGATGCTACTGCTGTCTAGTTATTGTTGTGGCTTCACCCCACCAGACACTATTCTTCTAAGATACAGATACTGGCCCAAGGTCACCCAGTGAGTTCCATGCAGAGCTGGGGAAATAGCAGCCTAAAATAAATAAATATATGAGGGCCAAAAGTGTTATGAACCTAATGGTTCATTCAACCCTGGTTTTCTTCCCACCAGCCCCTTCAGCCACCACACTTGCAACGTTAGCATGGCGGCTCAGCACTCACAAGGGTTAGGGATCCTCCTGGCATGGTAAAAGTATACAATACAAGTAAGGCCAACCTGGTTTAAATGAGAAGCCACATGGGTAAGTCTTCTCCCTTGCCTGGCATTTAATCAGCTCTTACCTCTGCAACACAGGTCTTTTCAAGTGGATTGTATGATCCACCATAACCGGCTCCTCAGGAGCACACACAACTGGCCAGTGGTTCACTCCCCTCTCTCTCTCCTTCAAAATTTTGATGGGCTACTAAATATTTTTTTCCCCTGCAGATCAAAGCACATAACTCGTATTTTAATAACTTTTTTCATTCAGCACCAGTATCATAATCAAAACCAGCACCTTATTATGAAAATCTCAGGCTGCAAGTTAGGCCACTGAGGAATAACTCTTTTAATTTGTTCATTTCTAGAAAAAAGAAATAGACTGTGTTAGTCCCTATTATGAAAATCATGGGCCCTCAGCAAAAGTCTTGTTTACCTGCTTGACAATCTGACCCTGGTGAAAAAACTCTGTCATTAGTAAAAATAACTAAATCATGTGCAGGACCTTGCATAAACCCATACCCTCCCACATTTCTCCAATGAAAATAGGGATGTCTCATTCCATAATGATAATTTTACTATTTATACCCCACACATCCGACTGGGTTGCCCCAGCCACTCTGGGCAGCTACCAACATATATAAAAACATAATAAAACATTAAACATAAAAAACTTCCCTATACAGGATTGCCTTCAGATGCCATGAGGGTTGGATAACTCCACGCTCTCCAACATTTCTCCAATGAAAATAGGGACATCCTAAGGGAAAGTGGGACATTCGGGGATCAAATCAGAAACTGGGACGGCTTCTCTAATTTGGGGTTGTCCTTGGAAAATAGGGACACTTGGAGAGTCTGTAAACCCTTTTCTGTGGACCACCTAAATGGAGCTTGCAGAGGACCAGTGGTTCATGGATCACAGTTTGAAAACCTCACAGTTTGACAATTATACTTTCTCCTGATCGCCTTGGGAGTGTTGCCTTGGGGAAGGGAAAAGTCATGATTACTCATTGTGTGTGTGTGTCTACCAATATGACACACAGAGAGTCAAAGATAACTTGTACGTATGTGGTGATTGTGGGATCCACAATCTTATCACTTTTTAAAACGAATGTCACTCACATAGAGACAGGAAGATGGGACTTCCCAGGGCCAGCCTCACCATAAGGCACTCTGAGGTGGCCGCTTCAGACATCAAATGCTGAGGGAGCAAAACTGTGTGCCATGTGGCATACCCAGTGAGTATCCCCTAGACTAGCTTGATGCTTTCAAGTGCAGTAGAGGCCTCTGCGTCAGAGTTGAAGCAGGATTCAAATGCCCGTCTATTCAGCTTTGACACACAATCAGCTTTCGTACACAGAAGGGGGTAGCACTGTCTCATCCTTCGCCACAGGCAGAAAAACATATTGGGCTGGTCATAACATCTTCCTTGGAATCCTCTGCCTGAGTCAGTTTTGCTGCTTCGCATTGTTGCTGCCCTTGTCTGCAGGGTTTCATTTACCAACAGACTCCACAGCCAACCTTAGTGGGCAAGCTACATTTTCTCGATGCATCCCAGAAGCACCAGCCATGGTCAAGTCCACTGTATAGCCTTCTCCATCCTGATGCTCTCCAAATGCTTGGGAGTACATCTTCCATAATCACCAGCCAGCGCGGCCAATGGTCAGGGATGATGGGAGTTGTAGTCCAACAACATCTGGGAGGGTTCCGGATTGGGGGAGGCTGGTGTGGTGGACCCCTCCAGGCAAACTACTTTTGATTAGATTCCTCAGTGCAAGGAACCATATACCTGGAGGGAAGGTATT